TTAATTTGGAATATACATTTAATTTGGGCCTCTATTATGGTGTCTTTAAAAAGTTTCCATGCAGCTTTCAGGGATTTGGCTCTAGTCACTGTGCCTTTTAATTTCTGTTTAATTAACCTCCTCATTTTTGTGTAATTCCCCTTTCTGAAATTAAATGCCAGGGTGCTGGACAGCTGAGGTGTTCTTCCCACCACAGGAATGTTGAATGTTATTATATTATGGTCACTATTCCCAAGCAGTCCAGTAACGGTTATATCCTGGACCTGATCCTGCACTCCACTCAGGACTAAATCGAGAATTGCCTCTCCCCTTGTGGGTTCCTGCACCAGCTGCTCCAAGAAGCAGTCATTTAAGCCATTGAGAAATTTTATCTCCGCTTCTCTTCCTGAGGTGACATGTATCCAGTCAATATGGGGGTAATTAAAATCCCCCATTATTATAGAGTTCTTTATTTTGGTAGCCTCTCTAATCTCCCTCAGCATTTCAATGTCAGTATCGCTGTCCTGGTCAGGTGGTCGGTAATATATCCCTACTGCTAATTTCTTATTATTGGAGCATGGAATTACTATCCATAGCGATTCTATTGAACATGTTGATTCGCTTACTATTTTTATTTCATTTGATTCTACACTATCTTTCACATACAGTGCCACTCCGCCACCCACCCGGCCTGCTCTATCCTTTCTATATATTTTATATCCCGGTATGATTGTGTCCCACAGATTTTCCTCATTCCACCAGGTTTCAGTGATGCCTATTATGTCAATCTCCTCATTTAATACGAGGTACTCTAGTTCACCCATCTTATTAGTCAGACTCCTAGCATTTGTGTACAAGCACTTTAGAAATTTGCCACTGGTTATTTGTCTGCCCTTCCCTGATGCATTGGATTCCTTTGTATGCGGTTGTTTGTCCGCTCTGGCCCATGGTTTGCCCTCTCCCCTCCTCTCTTTCTGACTACATCTTAGACAATCTCTATCAATGGATTCTCCTCTAAAAGAAGTCTCCCTCTGATTTACGTGCATCTCCGCACCAATCGGCTTTCCCCCATCTCTTAGTTTAAAAACTGCTCTACGGCCTTTGGTCATAAACTAGTCCCAATACCAGCCCCAACCCGAGTTAAGCCCTAGTCTCTGGCCCCAACCGTAACCTGGCCCAAACATAACAATATCCCCGGAATATTAACTCTAAGCCATGACCTGACCCCGCCTTAACCCAAACCTAAATATATCCCTGCTCCAGCTCTAAACCTAGCCCTTATCCTTTACCCACAATCAGGTCCCAGATCCAACTGGGAAGATCAGAGAAAATTACACAATAGTTCCATGGGCTTGCTAAACATTATCTGCTGCTAGATGTCCTGTTTTAGTAAGACACTTAACCACAAATCATATTTAAGCATGTAAATAGTTCCACTCATATCAATTAGACTACACATTGTTAAATAATCTGTTGAATAACAGCTTAGTAGAAATGTGTTCTGAGACTTTTTACACCTTGGCTGTGTCTACACTGGCATGAATTTCCGGAAATGCTTAAAACGGAATACTATTCCATTTGCAGTTTTTCCAGAAAAGGAGCGTCTACATTGGCAGGCTGCTTTTCCGGAAAAGCCCTTTTTCCGGAAAAGTGTCTGTGGCCAATGTAGCCGCGCTTTTCTGGAAAAGAGCCTCGATCGCCATTTTCGTGATCGGGGCTTTTTTCTGGAAAAGACTACTGGGCTGTCTACTCTGGCCCTTTTCCGGAACAGTATTCTGGAATAAGGACTTATGCCTGAGCGGGAGCAGAATAGTTTTTCCGGAATAGCGGCTGATTTTGTACAGTAGAGCATCGTTGCTTTTCCGGAAATTCAAGGGCCAGTGTAGACAGCTCGCAGCTTATTCCGGAAAAGCGGCTGATTTTCCGGAATAAGTGGCCCAGTGTAGACACAGCCCTTAAGTATCAGAGGGGTAGCCGTGTTAGTCTGAATCTGCAAAAGCGGCGAGGAGTCCTGTGGTACCCAAAATCTCAAGCCTCTTTTAGAAATCTTGACTAAAAGAAGTCATGTTTGAAATCAGGGAGAAATGTTTGTTTTCAAGCTTTACAATAATTTACAGATGCAGGAATATCTATCAAGATTAAATCTGAAGCCTTTTCTACACATGCACTCATATGACTCCAGAGAATTAACGCGGATTTGGTCACACCTGGCATTGTCACCAAGACACTTGTCCACATCTGGAAAACAAACATTAATAGTAACTTGTGACAGTGAAGTAGTTTGGAAAAAGCGAGAGCCTACCTGAATTTTTGGCCAAACCTTAACATTTATTTTGGAGATCTGAAAACATTGCTTAATTGTTTTCCCATTTCAGTAGACCTTTGCACTCCCCAGGACCCACCAGAAGTGGAGGTGTTAAAATAAAACAGTGCATAAGGGAGGAGAGGTTAGTCTTGCCATATTTATGGCTCAGTTAACAGCACAGCTGTGCAGGTCCACATATTTTGGACACATATCCCAAGTTCTAGGTTTAACAAACCCTCTAAATATGGGGGTTCATCCTTCATGTAAGTTACTAAGGCAATCATCATTTATGACATGTCCATGTATCATGTGTATGAGGGAAAGGAAAAGACTCCTTTTATGCTGACTCATCTCTTGTGCTCCCGTATAGGGCCTAATAAAAAGGAAATAGTGCTAAAATCCTATCAAAGCAGCCTTTGTAGCCATGGTCTCTTAGCAGTGAAATTGCTGTGAAATGCTGGGAGAAGCTTTGAAATCTTTTTTTCCCCCTTTTGTGCTTTGAATCAGCCTCAGGCAACATTGTTAAGCTATTTAACATCACATCCTCAACCATCGGCGTTAAGCTGGAACCCTGCCTTGCTGCTGCACTCGTACCCTCCAATGTAGTTGACACCGAACTGGGAGCAGCAGGCCTCACTGGACTCACATTCATCCAGGTCTGAAGAGGGAAAGGTGTGGTTCAGTTAGGCTTCCTAGGGGCAATTCAAACACAGGTTGTATTAAACACTGACAACTTGCTCATCTGAGTCTTGACACAAGTCTACACTAAAAGATTGTTATTCATACACTGTTGGTCATCCTAGCACTTGCAGTGCTGTGATTTAGATCGGGGATGTCTGTGGCCAGTTTTTCTGTTATTGATCACCTCCCTATATCCAAATATTTTTTTAATCTTCAGGCAGAGCTGCCTACAAGAACACTCCCCCATACAAAGAACAGGTGTTGTTTATGTTTTGTAGCAGGGGGCTTATTCTACATTTGTACAGCCTCTAGCACTGGTCCAGGACTGCCATCTTGTCCAGGACAGGGAGCATCTATGTGCTACCAACATTCCACTAAAACAACTACTCCTCCATCAACCTAGCAAAATAACTGTTATCTCTTCACTACTGATTTGTCTATAGCTGATCATTTTTCAAATGAGTGTTTTTAACCCGCATGCCTGTTATGACATAAAATAAAACAGCAGTGAACAGAAGCCTGTGATTTAACAAAACATGTTCAGACATCCATATTTATAAGCAATTTTGTTTTTTGACAATCAGCTTCCCACCATCTCATTGTGTCTTGTATAAGTAGGGAAATTTGTGGGGTCAAAAGCTGTTGTGCTGATTAATGCAAACAAGAATCAAGCTTTTTTAACTGCTGCCTCTCAGCTGATCCCTGCCCTTTTCAGTGTTTTGAGCTATTAAGTGGTGATTCAAGAAGTAGCCTGTCAATGCTGAGTTTGCAAAATGCTTTTGACCATTAATGAGATGAGCAAAAGGTCAGCATCTTAATTAACCTTGGAATGGGCACCCACATTATTAGGAAATGTACACAACAAAGAGTAGAGAAAGAAAATGTAATCAATCAACTGAGGCTAGAGGTCAGCACAAAATTGATTAAAGCAGGTTATTTGAACAAGGAGTATTCCTTTTCCTGCAAATGTCACAAGCAAAGCTGCCCTGCAATATTTCAGATGATATCTTGTCTCCAGGTTCTATTAAAAGCTCATTGTGTGCTTTGGAATGTGCAGCCTGCAGCCAATGAAAAAGAGATTTTTGCTGTCAGAACAGCTTTTTACTTCCTCAGCTCTGCTGAAATCTCCATCTATGCTCTCACCTCCCCTTCACCTTGGCCATGATAAAGTCTTCTTTATGAGTAGTTTCATGAGCCCATCTCTAGGCTCCAGCATGTGTAAAATGCTGCTGCTTGTCTTCTTATACCCACAAAGAAACAAGGCTACTTAATCCCATTGTTAGCCCATCTGGCTCCCGATTCATTTCCAGATCCAGTCCAGAACTGCCCTTGTTTTAAAAATTCTCCATTATCAGCCTCTCATAGACTTTTTCCTTTCTGATTATCTAAAGCTGCCTGCTTTCACTTCCCATGGGAAATTTCTCACATAGAAGGAGGTGTAATCTTGCCAATGTAGGAGCATGACTGGAGCTAACGAATTTCTCTAATGCAAAATGGACTCCAAGTGGGCAAACATCACTTTTGAAAATTAGTGCACAACTAGAAGTGATCATCTGCTGGTTGGCCTTGGGATATGGAAAACCCTAGAAAAAAAGAATTTTAATCTTTGAGGAGAAAGGAAATACATTTGGTCTGTAAACAATGTGGTCATCTTGACAACAATTTAATGGCGGTGTCATTTTTCAATTAATCAGCACAATGGCTTTTGACCATACACATTTCCTTAGTTATACAAAAAGATTTAAGTAATCATCCCATCAAACCATCAGTAGGTGAAATTGAAATATGGAATGTGATGTTTAGCTTCAGTTTACTGAAATACCAAAAGGAAGGACAAAAGGAAGAGAGGAAAACAGATGCTTCCAAAAAGTGACAGTTTTATCCTAGAATGCCCCTTACACATCTATCTCCCTTTGTGTTCTAATGGACCATATGTATCCCCTCCACTCTTTGAAAAAAATTCAGCATTTACCTAGACATATTTTCCCATCCAAATCAAGGAGATATCTCTGGTTGCAAGAACAGCAAGGCCCACCTGTCAAGTGTTGGCAGTGATGAGAGCAACCACCATTGTTGCTTTCACAGCTATTGACAATTTCCATTTCGATACCTTCCAGGAAAATGATCAAAAGAATATTAATAAGAAAATACAAGAGGAGAGCAACTAGAAAATAGTCATCAATGAAACCTGTATATAAACTGATTGCTGAGAATTGAAAATATACAGTAGAAAATATATACTCATCCACACATAGGTTGGAAGAGCATATTTTGGGCCACTGAATAATGTTTTAGTGTTTCATAACTACAGCTTCTTTTGTCTGAATAACTTGTGCTGGCCCATGTTTATGATAAAGTGTCTACTGAATTAGTGTATCTTGACAACAACTTAAAGGAGGTGTCATTTATGGGAAAATACATATTCCTAGGTGCACTGTACATAGCCTTTGTACAAGGTCAGTGAGCTTGTTCATTTGAAGAAGAGACTGTGAGCATTCTGGGAAGCATGAGATTTAGACAGAGGGCTCACCAAGTCTGGGTTTCATTTGGTTCATTTCCCACAGGGTGCTCTGGGGGTAGAAACAGGAAAGGGGAGAATTAATTTTCAAAATATTCCAACAGGTATTTTCATGTTCATAGGCAGTAGAAAGGCATCACTCAGGAATGCAGTCCGAAGTTCTCTACTAGCCAAGAATGGGAGCAACATGCTGTCCCGGCACTCTTTGATACATTAGTGACATCTCGGAGGAAGTGCACAGGAGCTGGAGTTTTCAGAAGGAATTCAGGCTTGTTTCTCCCAGATTTGTCCTGGAGGCTCCAAGGCCACAGAGACTAAAGCTACACTGCCACAGTGCTTTCACCTTGTCACAACGCAGGCACTCTCAGCCTGTTGGTTTTATTTCAGGCACTTTATGGCTGTATAACACAATAAGGCTGTGTCTAGACTGGTAAGTTTTTCCGCAAAATCAGATGATTTTGCGGAAAAACTTGCCAGCTGTCTACACTGGCCGTTTGAATTTCCGCAAGAACACTGACAATCTCATGTAAGATCGTCAGTGTTTTTGCGGAAATACTGTGCTGCTCCTGTTCGGGCAAAAGCCCTCTTGCGCAAATCATTTGCCAGTGTAAACAGCACAGTACTGTTTTCCGCAAAAATGGTGATTGGGGCTTTTTTGCGGAAAACCGCGTCTAGATTGGCCACAGACGCTTTTCCACAAAAAGTGCTTTTGCGGAAAAGCATCCTGCCAATCTAGACGTGCTTTCCGAAAATGCTTTCAATGGAAAACTTTTCCGTTAAAAGCATTTTCGGAAAATCATGCCAGTGTAGATGTAGCCTCTGAGAACATGGACATGGACTATGCTCCCCAGAAAGTTTTTGCTCAGGTCCCGTGGAAGGGCTCATGTGGGAGGGTGAGCTTCTTGTAACCTGGTCCCTCCCTTATATTTTTCAGAATGCACACCTGTAGAATGAAGGCAAATCCTAATTCACCACTCTTAAGCATGCAGCTAGATTGCATCTTTTAAGCATGGCCTCATTTTCAGGGTGCCACAAGTTGCAAGGGTGCTGGAAAGCATTGTGTCTTAAGGAGCTGCCGTACCTGCTTCATCATTTCAACCCATAGGCTATGTCTATATGACAAGTTTTTTTGGCAAAAAATATGCTAATGAGGGACTCATTTGCATGAGTTGCTATCTCATTTGCATATTTTCTGCCAGACCGTTTTTGTGCTTGGGGCTTTTGAGCAAAAACAAGCAGCGTGGACATTTTATTTTTGCACAAAACCCCCTTCTGATCTTGTGGAAAAAGGGGTTTTTGCGCAAAAAGAAAACGTCCACACTGCTTGTTTTTGCACAAAAACCCCTAGCGCAAAAATGGATCGGCAGAAAATACGCAAATGAGATAGCAACTCATGCAAATGAGTCCCTCATTAGCATATTTTTTGCTGAGAAACTCTTAGTATAGACATAGCCATAGAGAAAGCATGCTTGCTGCTAGAGCCTATTCAAAAGTATAACTTATACTTGCCTCTGCGGCCATCCACCTCAGCTGGTTGCTGGGTATATGTGGGTGCATGAGCGTGCCTATACTTTACCCCACTGTTTCCCAATTTTATTTGGCCATGGATCTCTTTTCAGAATTTCAAGGAACCCTAGGTTTGCCAAGCCAAACAAAAAAAAAAAGTGGAGAACCCATCAATGCATTAAAATCACATTCCTTCCCCAAGACCCCACCCCGTTGAAGCCCCATCCTCTCTGCTCCCCTCCTCTCCATCACTTGCTATCCCCAGCCCTCATACACTCTCACTAGAAGGTGCCGGCTCTGGGGTGGGAATGAGGGATTTGGTGTGGGAAGGGGTGAGAAGTATAAGCTCTGGGAGGGAATTTGGATGCAGGACAAGGGGATGCTGGCTCGCAGAGGAGGCTCCAGGCTGGGGAGTGTGGGGCTCAGGTGGAAGGTTGGGGTGCTGAGCAAGTCACAGGCTTGTGGATGTGAGGGTGTAGGAGTTTGGGCTGGATATTTGAGGGACTCAGGGCAAGAAAGTTGTGAATATGATGGGACACAGATTTGTGATGTGTGGATGGTGCAGGCGTGTTGTGGCAGAAGACTGAGGATGTGGGGATGCAGGAGTTTGGGGATGTAACAGGCTCAGGACAGGGGGTTCCAGTGTATGATGGACTCAGATTTGGGGTCAAGTGGTGCAGGAGTCTTAAGATGCTGCAGTGAGATGGGGATTTTGCCTGGGGCATGTTGGCCAGGCTTCATTTTTAAATAAAATATTATGTCAAACGCAAAAGGTTTCAGCATTGTCTTTATTTATGAGGGGGCGAGGAACCTGTTTTGAGTCAAGGGTCACTGACCCACAGAAAAGTCAGTTGGGGCCACACAAGTGAGATTCAAAAAAACCCCTCCAAACCCCCCAAGCCTCACTAATGTGGTCCCAGCTGTGCTGGTGGGGATAGGGGAGAGGGTGCTAGTAGGTGCTGGGGCCAGGGAGAGGGTGCTGCTGGGTGGCAGGATGCTGGCACAGGTGGCAGGGTGCTGGGGCAGGATGCTGGGGTCAGGGACATGGTCCTGCTGGGCACTGGGGTGGGTGGCAGGGTGCTGGGGCCAGGGACAGGATGCTGCTAGGTGCTAGGGTGGATGGCAGGGTGTTGGGGTTGGGGCCAGTGTGCTGCTGGGTGCTGGGGTGAGTGACAGGGGGGGGGGGCCAGGGACAGGATGCTGCTAGGTGCTAGGGTGGATGGCAGGGGGTTGGGGTTGGGGCCAGTGTGCTGCTGGGTGCTGGGGACAGTGCTGGTGGGGGCAGGGGACAGGGTACTCATGCGAGGTCTGAGCAGGGGACAGGGGCAGCTGGGACCAGTACCTGGCAATCCTGCAGCAACTCTGGGTTCCAGGAAGTGTGCAACTGCACTTCCCCTCCCCAAACAGCTGGCATGTCTGCTGCCTGAACAGCAGGGGCTGTTGCACTCCAGCAATTTACTTCCACAATGCTGTCCTGCAGGGTTGGGGAGGTGTCCCAGGGCAAAGAGCGCTGCCTGCACAGTGGGAGCTGCACAGACTCGAGTCTCCTGAGTCCCCCACCACACAGAAAGGCCGTGGAACTAAGTGCTCCCTTCCCCGCTGTGGGTCACATGGGTTCACCCTTGTCCGGCACCCCCTAGTGTGCCGGTCAGGAGCAATTGTTCCTCTTTGCCCCTGCCTCGCTACGCCTCTGCATCACCAGGGAGGAAGGGAAAACAAGTGTCCTGCTTCTTTCAGAAGCTGGTTAGCCGGTGCTCTCTATTTCTGAGGGGGTGGGGAAGTGCTGGCTCCTCGCGGAACCCCTACTTTCACTGCGCGAAACCCCAGGGTTCCGGAGCACCAATTGGGAAACACTGCTTTACCCATTCTTGCACTTTACCCCAACTTAGCAGTCTCTTTGGTCACTGCATTAGGAATTGCAACATTGGCTGGTGACAGGAGCGGACCTAGACTAGCTGTCGGCAACTGGCACCCTTGGCGAAATGCACAATCAGCGTCCCTGCCTCCAAAGCCTTCAACGGCTGTTTATCTTGGCGCCCTAGGCGACCGCCTAGTTCACCTGTATTGACGGGCTGACACTGGCTGGTGAAGATGGGGGAAGGAAGGGAGACAGAAGGTAATTTATTCAGAGAGAGGAATGATAGTCCAGGAGATCTAAATTCCATTCCTTGCTCCATTTCCTATGTCACTTTGGATGAATCATTTCAATGGGTATTAAGCACCTAAATACCTTTTGGGCCATATTCTCTCTGTGCTTCAATTCTCCATCTGTAAAACAGGGATTAACAGCTCTGCCTGGTGTCTCTGAGGTGTGTGAGATAAACACATTGGAGACTGAGAACAAATGCTATGGCAATGGTGGCTGTGTAAGTACCTAAGACAGACTCAGAATATTTTTAATGTAATGTTGTATATGAGGCATACATAAGTCTACCCCACAAAGATGTGTCAGTTAATCAGAAAAGGCTTTGCATAAAGCCATGATAAATTCAAGAGCTCTAGAACTCTTCTACTGCTCACATAAGATATAATTTTCCATGTATTAATAGCATCTCCTTTTCTATTGTGATACACATTGTTCCTCATTGTATCTCAAATAGTTTTGCAATTCTGACCAAATGCTTTGTTTTGATAATTGCACATTTAGTTTTCTTTGTATTGTTGAAAATTGCTTTACTTCCTCATTAAAACATTGTATAGAACAACTCCCACATCCCAAACATTGTATTCACCTCTAGTGTGCAGTGTATTTTTCTAAGGGAACTCTGCTGAAAACCTCTGCCCAGCATTATTAGATTGAGCAATTACTGTCTACCTCTGTTCTGTAATAGGCCATAATTTTGTCTACAACAGCATTCCAGAGTGTACAGCAGTTCCACAAAAACACAAACTTTTCCTGCACATCTCTTTAATTAATCTAAAATCTACCTCTTATGCTAGCCCAAGGATCACTTATTACAGTAGCAAGTGACTTGGTTTGTTGAGTAGGGGATGTTTAACAGAATCAGCCATGAAGCAATTTAAATCTTGATTTGAAAAAAGATAACTGAGAATTTAATAGCCCTGGAAATCTTAGTTCTTCAGTTATTTGTATTATCATGTACCTTTTTTTTATTCAATACACTTTTACAAATGTCAGTGGTGTCCTGAAAAAATCAGGAGAGTTGATGAGCATATCGGGCTCCCATGTGGGTTTTCTGTTTACATCAGGTAGAGGGCATGGGAAAACAGAGGGAGAGAATGAATAAATTCCAACCAACATCAGTAAAATGCACAGTCTTTGGGTAACTCTGCAATCACACACAGAATATAATTTGCTACATCTCGAAGATAAACCAGTAGCGCTGTTTGCCCTTTGAAACCAAGAGGGCTGTTTGTGGTGGAGTAAGGTAGTGCCTCCAAATACATGCAACAATGCCACAGGACTCCCTGTTGTTTTTGCTGAAACAGACAAACATGGAGACTTTTCTGAAACCATGCTCAAGGATGTGTAAATTTGCAAAATGGCAGCAGTGTCTCTGATGATGACAACAATATTCAGCTTGAACTTTTGCATCCTTTTTTATTGCCAGGAGTTCTAATCCTATTGCATTAAAATGGAAGTACTGCATATTCCAGGTAAGATCACCTGAAATGTGTTGCTGTAAAACTGTCACTTACGGTAGCACTGCTTTCCATCAGTGCCCAGGTCAAAGTCAGGATTACAGACATAGACACAATGATGAACACACTTGGCTATCTCTTCTGCACACTCATCAATGTCTGCAAAACAAAGAGATCAGCAATGAGATCTATTTGGCTATTTTACAGCAGTTATACGCCCCTCCCCCCAAAAAAATCATATGGATGAAAATCTTTAGAAGTCTCTATTGAAATAAAATCTTAGGGTTAGTAGACAAGGCAGCACCTAGCAATTCCACAAATAACAAAGCCACAACACCCTCCTTGAACATAATACTTTACGGCTGTGTCTAGACTGGCCAGTTTTTCCAGAAAATCAGCTGCTTTTCTGGAAAAACTTGCCAGCTGTCTACACTGGCCGCTTGAATTTCCGCAAAAGCACTGACTTCCTACTGTAAGAAATCAGTGCTTTTTGCGGAAATACTATGCTGCTCCCGTTCAGGCAAAATTTGCGCAAAAGGGCCAGTGTAGACAGCTGAGATTTGTTTTGCTCAAAAAAGCTCTGATTGCGAAAATGGCGATCGGGGCTTTTGTGCACAAAAGCATGTCTACATTAGCCATGGATGCTTTTCCGCAAAAAGTGCTTTTGCGGAAAAGCGTCCGTGCCAATCTAGACGCTCTTTTCCGAAAATGCTTTTAACGGAAAACTTTTCCGTTAAAAGCATTTCCGGAAAATCATGCCAATCTAGACGTAGCCTACATGTATAACATCACATTTCACCTGAGGTAGTCACCCCTAGATCACATTCCTTATACTCATTACATGTAAACCAATGGTAAGAGAGAGATCTGATTATCTATACTGATTGGAATGTGTCAAATCAGTTTGGATAGGTCCGGAGCAGTACATCTTTCCAACTAGATTTTTGCATGGGATGGTGCCATGGAGACCCAAACCTCCTTTGCTGCACCATCCCTTGAACTCTGCAGAGCTTGCTCCACTCATCATATGGCTACACTGCCATCTGGGACTGTGATTGTGGCACATACAGACAGACCTGAGCTAGCTTTAATCTGGCTAGCATAAGAACTAATAGTGGTGAAGCCAAGGCAGCATGAGCTTCAGAGCAGACTGTAGGAACCCATCCAGAATCCTGTGAACTTATATGGGGCAGCTAGCACAAGCCAAGCCCCTGTTGTGGTGGCTTCTATGCTATTGGTACACACAGTAGCTAGATTACAGCTAGTTATGTGTATGCATGCTGCAGTCACACCCCTGAGTGCAGAGTAGACATACCCACAAAGTTAAGAGATAACCATACTGATCAAAAGAGGGGCACTCCATGTCTTCCCAGTGAAAAGGAGAAAAGATGCACATATAAGGAAGGTCCTTTATAGACAGATCAAAGTGCTCTGGCCCGTCATCATTGTAATGAACAGTACAGTTCAGCACAACTGGAAAATCCATAGGAGCTGGAGGAGGATCCCTTTCAAGCACAGGATAATAAGCAAGACTCCTCACACTAAAAAAGCCAAGTACTGATCGTGTAGAGCAAAAATGCACAAGAACACCAACCTCTGTGCAAGGACTGACATTACCTTATACATTTCTTCAGGGCAGAACAAAAAAAAGGAAGCTCCGATTTCTTTCTAAGTTTACATTTCTGGCTATTTCATTTTAATTTTCCCAAGGTACATTTTGTCATTAGCCAACTATGCTGGGATAAGAAAATGTGTGCTCCTTCCCAAGTCCATCTTTACAGCCACAGAAGCATGTAACATTCTGCATGTGATCAGTGCCTTTGCAAGAGTGGGGCTCAGGACTTTACAGAAGCCACTTGCTATTTTGTGACAGTTTCCAGGGCGAACGATTTGGCAGCTTCCCTGAAGTTGTCACAGTGCAAAGCTTGCCAGGATTTTATTCAGATTCATTAATTAGCTGTCACTTTACAAGCTGGAGATTTTGGCAACATTATGTGAATTTTCAAGGAACCACAGGAAGTTAGATACCTAAATCTCATTGATTTCAGCACCTAATTACCTTAGACTTTTCTCAAAATCCACTTAGAAGCCTATCACTTTTTATATTTGGAATTCCTGGCCTTAGTGATTTCTCTCCGCAAAGTGGTTTCTCTATTAAAAGAAAAGTAGTTCCCTGCCTGAAAATCCTTTTAAATTCTAAATAGGCTGTGTCTGACCTAGATCACAGTGTTATCTGAACCAATTTTTCAGTATCTTTATCTGGTGCATTATTTCTGGTGAATAATGCCAGATTACCCCCAAATCCTCATCCAATTAATAGTAAATAAAATTTCTTGGCAGATTAAAATGCATCATTGTTATTATTAAAATTACTTTTTGAGGCTCTGAAAATAAAAAAATAGAATCTTGTAATTTGTATTTTACATCCATATGTGCAAATGCACGCACACATGTGTGTGTGTGAAAATATTTTATACACACACATATATATACAGTGTGTGCATATGTGGACATTTTTATATTCTCTACACACAGCACATACACATACTCACTCATGCACAAGTTACTCATTTGCATTAAAAGTGTGATTACATTCAAACTCCAAATAATGCCTTTCTTTTCATCTTTTTGCAGCTTCTTACCTCCACAGGACTTTTTGTCTGCAGAAAGATAGTATCCAGGATAGCACTCACACATTACAAATCCTCTCTCATTTTGACAGATGTGTGAGCATACTCCATTCCCACTTGTGCAGGGGTCCATCACTGAAAGCAATTAAACTTACTGTCAACTTAAAGGTCATGCTTTTGTCTGAAAATGGTTTTGCCTTCCATTGTTACAAGAGTACTGTAATTGACAGCATGTCTACACTGCAATTAAACACCTATGGCTGGCCTGTGTCAGCTGATTCAGGCTCATGGGGCCCAAGCCCAAATGTCTAGAATTGAATAACCCTGTAGCCTGAGCCCTGCAAGCTGAGTCAGATGACATGGGCTAGCTACAGGTATTTAATTGCAGTGTAGACATTCCCTAAAAGATTAGAGAGGAAAAACATATTTGATAGCACCTTGTTTATAGTTACATTCACCGTTTCATTTTGCTTATTTGGGTGCATCTTTCATACAGCAACAAGAGCAGATTTTTTTAAAAATAAGATAGGAAAATGTGGTTAAAAAACCACTAAAACACTGAGGCTACGTCTACACTGGCCCCTTCTCCGGAAGAGGCATGCTAATTTAGAACTTTGGAAATCCCCCGCGGGATTTAAATAAACATGGCCGCCGCTTTTTTTCCGGCTTGGGGAAAAGCCGGAAAAAAGCATCTAGACTGGCGCGATCCTCCGGAATAAAGCCCTTTTCCAGAGGCTCTCTTATTCCTACTTGCAAGGAATAAGAGATTCTCTGGAAAAGGGCTTTATTCCGGAGGATCGCGCCAGTCTAGACGCTTTTTTCTGGCTTTTCCCCAAGCCGGAAAAAAAGTGGCGGCCCTGTTTTTTTTAAACCCGCAGGGGATATTTAAATCCCCCACGGATTTCCCTATTCCAAAGTTCTAAATTAGCATGCCTCTTCCGGAGAAGGGGCCAGTGTAGATGTAGCCTGAGGGTATGTCTACACTATCACCTACTTTGAACTAGGGTGGTTAATATAGGCAACCGAAGTTGCAAATGAAGCCCGGGATTTGAATTTCCCAGGCTTCATTTGCATCTTGCCGGGCGCCGCCATTTTTAAATGCTACACACGGCACGGACTAGATAGTTCTGATTAGGCTTCCTATTCCCTATTCATTTGCAACTTCGTTCCATTCATTTGCAACTTCGGTTGCCTACATTAACCACCCTAGTTTGAACTAGGGTGATAGTGTAGACATACCCTGAGTGTGTTTGTGTGCCTGTATTTGACAGCTATAATTTCTAAAACAACACTTTACTCATTTAATTTTAAATTGAGTAGAGCTCCAAAAATGAAATTTCTTGGATATCTTTGAAACCACTTTGCACTTGTGTGAATGATTTGGAATTTGTAGAGCTTCCAGATGAAGGACAATGCATTTAGTTGTCTGCCACTTTGATTGATATCTGACATCTGAACAGGCATTTGGCCAATGATATGACAAAGTAATGAGCTCAAAGAGGCAGTGGATATATAGCAGTGAGGGGCTTTTCATGATGGTGTGAAATTCACTTTTGTGTAACTTATTTAAATCATTTTTTTAAAAAGCATGGAAGGTAAACAAGCAAACAAGATTCTAACACAACTGGGCCTAGATTCTTTCTAGCCTTGAGAAATAGGGAACCCATAGTACTAAATTGGCACCTTTCCTATTGCTCTATAATGATTAGTCATTTTCTGTCCATTGCTGATGAACTGCTGCTCACAGTGCCTGGCTAACCCAATGGTGTCAGAGAACGATCCTCTACAAGTGTTTGCACTGCAGTAATTGAAAAACCTCAGAAATTAGGGGACCGATCTGAATTCCATTTCACTCAACAATTATTTTGGAAACCAGTTGCCCACTCTCCCCTGCTAATAGTCTCATCATCTGGTCTATACTAATTAATATGAAATTTTATACAGCAGCCACACCCTAGGCCACACGGACACTTTAACAGTCATAGAAGAACCAACCTCGCTCCAACTCTTCCACCTAAATGCCATCAAGAATTCAGCTGAGATTCACTCTGGGCACATCTACACAGCAGAGCTAAAGCTAAAATAAGCTACGCAACTTGAGCAACTTCAATTGCATAGCTTAAGTTGAAATAGCTTGCTTTAGCTTTTGGTGCTGTGTACCCAGTAGGAAGTCTGAGAAAGAGCATTCTTCCTCCAACTTCCCTTACTGCTCATAATATGAAGGTTACAGGAGATGGAGTAAAGTCCTCCATCTCAACATTATTTTGACATTATGTTGAAATAAATGCTTGTAGTGCAGACGCAAACTATGTTATTTCAGCATAATGTCAAGTACTCTGAAATAACGCTGCTGTGTAGACATAGCTTCTGTGCAGAACAGAGATTGTACATAAAGTTGGATGGCCAAATCCTCAGGCAAAATTCCTCACTGAAAACATGCTGGGTTGGAAATGGGTAGAACTGCAGAATTTAGTCCTTAGTCTATACAGGGTACTGCAGAAGAGAAACAATATATAGCCGACTTTTTGATGAGAGTTTTGGCTGAGTAAGGCCACAAGGTTTTGCTCTAATGACCTATGGCATATACAACTGCATATACAACTGTATTATTGCCTTTAGAACTAACGAATGAGATAACGGTTACAAAAAAAGGGGGGGAAAAGCAAGCTAATATTGTTCTTTATTTGCACAGCTCCTAGCATAATAGGGTTCTGGAATATGATTGTGGTCCCTAGGTACTCCAGTTATACAAATAATAAATGTCAGAGAATTTGGTTTAATATCCTGAAGAGGAGGAGAGATCAATCATAATATGATTACTAATAGCAAACACTAAAAATGGATAAAGATTATGCCTTACGCTGAATTATATTTATTACATAAACCACAATTAGAGCACATATACATGGTAATGCGTACCTTGAAATAAACTATGTGATTTGAGCTATGCAAATTGTGTAGCTTATTTCAAAATAGCTTATTTTGAAATTTGGCGCAGTCAACACAGCACTTATTTCAAAATAAATCGCTATTCCACTGACTTCCTTAATCCCTATACAACAAGGTTTACAGGAAGTCAGAGTAAAAAACCCGTTATTTTGAAATTATTTCAAAATAACGGGCTTCTTGTTTAAATAGTGCATAATGTTATTTCAGAATAATGGACACTATTCCAAAATAACTCTGCTGTGTAGACATACCCCTCAGATACGTCTTAATGAGCAAATAATTTTTAGGATTTAAATGATTCTGAGTTTCTACATTAAATAAGTGTTTAAGGGTTGCCCAGAATGATCAGGGACCTATGTAACCTGTAACAAGCTCATGAAAGTCAACAAAGTAAGTCTTCTTACTCACCAGTATGTATTCAATGCAGTCACTGAGAATTGACAGATATTTCTGATGGAAGTGTAAAATAAATTGTGAAGGATATATATTGTCCAATGCACACTGTGGACAATCTTCTGGTGATTTATTGCTCCTAAAATGTGCTTTTGTCAAATATTCTAGGACTTACTTTCACAGTGTTTGCCATCTCTCTTCAGCTGATAGTATGGCCAACACTGGCACTTGTGGTGGCCATCACTGATTTGAATTCACTCCTGTTCACAGCCCCCATTGTTAACAGCTAGAGCAAGGGACGCACGAGTACATGAAAGATGTCAAAAACAGAGTTTATTTGGAAAAAACCCAAGTGGTACATTGCAGTGCAAAGTGCAGTGCAATTTTCACCTCAGATACAGTTTTGTACCATCTGGGTCATCAGTAGATGCAGAGTTAAGGGACAGGTCTACTAGGCAAATGAAAGCGGAAATACCTCGGTGATAGATCTTGGAGTTGGGGTGGGGCAGCCAAACGGTGAGGGGGGAATGAAGCAGTGGCAAGGAAGTGATTAGTGATCAGCTAGATATCAGGGAAGAGTTGAGGACAAGCTACATAAGTAGATGAAAGCTGGAGTGACCAGTGGACCAAGCAGGATTTACAGGCTGTTAGGGCCAGATTTAGATTAGAGCAAAAGGGATGAAAAACTCTCTCTGAAGCATCACAGCACTTTGATGGGAGGTCTGGTTTACATCAAAACTATAGGTCAACCTAGCTATATCACTGAGGGGCATGAAAATTCAGACCCCAGACAGATGTAATTTAGCTGAGTTAAGTTATAGTATAGACATTGCTAGATTGATGGAAGAATTCTTCTGGCAACCTAAGTCCTGCCTCTGGAGAGTGTGGCTTTACTACTGTGAGAGAAAAACCTGTTGAGGCTGTAGAAAGTTTCTTGAGTACAGCTTTACATCAACACACTCACAGCACTCTAGCTGTACTTCTATAGCACTTGTAATGTAGACATACCTGAGAGCAGCAATACCAGTAGCTGCTCATGTGGAGGTTAGTATCATCATCTGCTGCTGGGAGGACAACTAGTGGAGATAGAGCAGCTCCAGCCCTTAGAGACAGCAGCACAGAGCAGGGAATACAGTCTTCCACAGCATTATTATTATTCAGGCTCATAATTACAGAGTATAGGGCTGCCTGCACATACTCCCTGCTGCCTCTATTCCTACTTTTCCTGACCCAGCAATGGTGGAAATTTGTGGAAAGGCAATTGAGCAGGGAGAATGGAGTCTTTGAGACTGGCGGTGGTGGCCATAGGGTGCTAAGGTGGCAAGATTCTGGGGATGGGTTTTCCTGAGACTGAAGAATGTGTGAGTGTGCACATGTGGTTATGAGTATACACACACACGGATATGTGCATGCATTCATGGGATAGGTTCTGAATTGCCACGTGTTGCTAATATACATGATTTTATCATGAGGCTCATACAACATGGTGTTTTTCATAGAGCCCAGCTTTCTGGAGTCCTGGGATTGTGAGAGAATCTCAATTTTCATTTAAAAGAAAAAAATTCTAGCCCTCATGGACACAGAGATATGCTTGCAAATTACCTGAGTGTACATTAAAGGCTAAAAATTAGATATGCTTGGAAATTACCTGAGTGTACATTAAAGGCTAAAAATTAGAAAACAAATTTAAAAGCACCCCAATTTTTTTGGTTGAAGTCCCATATTTTTAAGCCTGTCATTATTTTTAATTTTTGGCACATGATATGATTTGTGAATGCTTGGGACTAGCAATA